CAGAGTTCCAACTTACAAACCAGTATCTATATATGACTAATACCTGCCCACCCTCTGGATGAGGCAGAAATACAGATACAAAACCACAAACCAATTATTTCAAGACCTTAACGCTAGTCGCTCAGTGGTGTCCAACTCTCTGCGACCCCATGGACTGTAGCCTGGCAGGCTCCTCTGTCCATGTAATTGTCCAGGCGAGAATACTGGAGTGGGTTGCCATTCTCTTTTCCAGGGGATTTTCCTGACTTAAGGATCAAACCCGGGTCTCCTGCATTGCAGGCATTCTTTACGGAAATCTGAGCCACAGCAGGCTCTCATTATCTCTTCCAAAAGTGTCTGTGGCCACTCTCACAATACCCAAGTGGAAGTGGGTGGGTGTGTGTGGGTGTGTGTGGGTGTGGGTGTGGGTGTGTGTGTGTGTGTGCGCGCGCGCGCGCTCAGTCATGATAAACTCTTTGTGACTCCATGGAATGTAGCCTGCCAGGCTCCTCTGTCCATGGGATTTTGGTTGTTGGAAAGTAAACTGGAGCCAATGATGACAGCAATCTTAACTGATTATAGCTAAAATATCTTAATCTTGCAAACAATTATCTTAACACATGGTTAAAACCCCTCCCAGAGGCCTGGAAGGGGACTGTGTGAGAAGCAGGTTCCAAGTTCAGCTGTGGTAGCTTCATGGTAAACTAGTCACTCTGTTTATGTTCTATTTTCTCCTCTATAATGACTAAATGACCTATTTATGTTTACATCACCCATGGAAACTTGAACACTGCATGCACACAGAAAGGACTCAATGCATGTTTTTAAAATTGAATTAAGCACACGCATCTGGACATATTGTTCAAATGTAATAATTCTAACCTGTTGCTATAAATGACAAGGTATTTCACCAACCCATAACACTGTCATTCACCCCTGACCTCTACCCTGGGCACATACACCTCAAGTATTCCTTTCATTTAACAATAAGGATGTGTACTGTCAAGAAAAAAATATCAAGAGTGAACAAAAATTAATGTTTTTAAACATGTTTTCACTACTGTCTCTCTTTAAATTCAAAAAGGATATTATTTCAATACCCACCAAATGGCATGAACCCTGCTGAGAAGCCTCATTGATCATATCTCTTCTCAAATTTCTAACAAAGCCCCAGTGGCCCCTACATCAAGGGATGTCTTTAATAAAATGCACAGTCCACTGTTCCTTCTGGGAAAACCTATTACCAAACTTACCATTATTTAACCAAGATGTGCTCATAATTTTGAAAGTGTTCTTTACTTATCTAAAGATAAATGTACATCAAAAAATTTGAAACCAAATCTGAAACAAGTATTTTCATCACATGGCTATTTAAGGTCCACAGGGCTGCTAAGACCATACACAGCAGTTCTCAGCTCTAGAACTACTGTTAGTAACTCCTGTGGATCCCAGAAAAAACACATTCTACTCTAGCGGAGCGGGGAATACAACCTAAATCCTATCAATGACTACTCTCTAAAGAATGGGTATATTAAAACTTGTCTGAAGGTCAGTCAAGTGCACCGGTGATAAATAACAGATTGTGTATCAGGAGACTGAGTGAGTGTCTAACTTCTGAATTAATGATGTGAATGAAAACTTCATCAACATGTATATAATAAACTTTACCAGGCAATAAGGTCTTTTTATGACTACAAACACATAAACACTGGGGAAAATTAAAATTTTAAGTAAGCTATCTAAGATAAATCACATACCCTCTTGATTCTAACCAACAAATCACCCTCCTGTCATCACATAAATACTTCATAAACATACTACCCACTTTAAGATCCTGATTCATAACATAATTTTCTGCCTCTTAAAATATTCTCTAAAGGACTAATTTTTCCTTCTTCTTCAATCTCCTTCAGCTCTATATCACACTACTATCATGAATGCGTTAGTAAATGACTTAAAGTTACATCTGAATACTAAATAAAATTATCCATTCTTGTTTTCTTCTAATATTGGTTTCATTTCCATGCCTCCTACATTTTTCTATTTCTCTTACAATGCATTTCTAACTTTTTAATTCAACCCAAATGGGGATATTCTGTATGTGCTGATACTATTAAAAGAAAACAAGGACTAAAATCAATTACTGCTACTACATTCAATTCCAAAACCAGTCAAGAATGAATGGGAAGTGCTATTTCTTTCTATGGGACTAAATGGAGTGACACTGCTGATAGTGGTAAGAACTATTCAACAACGGCAGAGGCAACAGTGACCAGCAGAAAGATTCCCCATAAATACAACCTGTCACCTGAGAGACCAGGGGTTCTCAACCAGGGACAGCTGGCCAAGCCTGGAGACTTCAACTGGGGGAGGGGGCGGGTGATGACCAGCATATGGTGGATAGACACCAGGGATGATGCTCAACGCCCTACACAGGCACAGGAGAGTGCCCATAACAAAGAGCTATTCAGTCAAAAATGTCAGTGCACAGGCTGAGAATCCATAAACTCAACATGTGTCCCAATTCTGGGTAAAAAAATACAGAAGCACCATGGTGCTGTGAAAGGACCACAAGATCAGGGGAGGGAGGGAACTAAATTTTACTGAGTACTTGCTACCTATCAAGCCTTGCATTAGGCACTTTACAAATACCATCTCACTTAAACCTCCATCCCATGGGAGAAAAGTGATCTATTCTCATTTTATAGATGAGAAGGTTGAACTCAGGAAAATTAAGGAACTTATTCAAGGTCACTCATCCAGAAATGGAAGGAATTATGATTCCAAATCAAACCAAATCTGTTCCTTTCCACAAAGGCTAGAGGTTAAAAGACCAGGTTTTGATTCAAAGAGTTACCAATATGAATTTGAGCACAGCACTTAACTTCCTCAATCTGCATTTAGAAAGTAAGTCAATGGATAACATCTGAAAATACAAATGCTGTCAAATGTCAACAATTATGTTAAACATCTTATAACAAAAAACAAAGTGCTTCTTAGAATGGAAGTTCATGATTATCATTTCTCCTTAAAAACAGAATTTATACAAGGGTGCAGAGTACCAAGTTGTACAGCGTTTTTAAAAATCAAGAGTAAACCTTCAGAAGGTATGGTGCCTTCCACCACCACACAACTACTCTTAATACTAGAAGGAAATAAATTATCTAATATAAACAATATTTTTGTATGAACTTCCCAGATTTTCAATCAATTGACCCAAAAAGCTCAAGACCATTTCAGCAACTTTGATGGGGCTCTCTCCACAACAGAGGAGGAAGAGGATGGATTACAAGTCCAATACTGCTGCTGTGGGAAACAACTCCGCCATCCTCTCCAGAGAGCCAGAATGTATTCCAAGAGATCAATACATTATCATTCACACCATTGATGCAAAATGTAAATCATTTCAACATAAGGTTATGACTTTTTAAAAACCTACCACCAGAATCTATCAATCTTTGACAACTAAACTACTGGTAGGTTCACAAACACAACTTGAAATCTGGGATTAAATTCAAGGATAATGTAAACTAAAAGAAGTTTGTTCTTTCTAGAAGTCATCACGACTAATGAGACTTCTAAAAGCAGGTTGCACACACACTTTTCCCCTTGAAATCTTGGATCTCCAGGCATGGTTTTGTTGTATTTTATAAAAGTGTATTTTCATATCATATTAATACACTGTAAATAAATTATAACTGCAACTATTTCCCACTAACATTGTCCAAGTTTAAAAACAATAGACACATCAAATAAACCAAAAATTTGTTTGAAATAATTTCAGAACAATCATTAAAAGACTGGCTTTAAATAAACTTCTAAAAATCTGTTTACCCAACACCAAATATAAATAATATATGTTCTGTTGGAATTGACAGAATTCATAACACACTCTTTTGACTGTTCTCTATTTTAATCAATTAAATAAGGAGTTTCATTACAACTCTATTCTGAAGTACATCTTTCACCTTAAGCATTCTGACACTTCCATCAACTTTCTAAAACCAACAGTAGATTTTTAAAATGTTTTTAACAGATTTGTCTCTCAGAAGACTAAATTAGACAAAAATGATAGAAGAAACCTATTACCAATCTCCTTAACATCGACAGATATTTGGATAAACTGCAGCCATATGCTGATGGACAGGTGACAATCCCAAAGAATTTACATTAGATAATAACCTAAGTTAAAACCCATTCTATCTGACATCCCGTCAACTTTTTACTTTACAAGCCTGTTTTTCATTACAACCAATTTTAACGTATAGGGAAATCTTATTATATTGTCTGTTTTTAACCAGTCTCTTCATTTCTCCCCAAATAGCAGAATTTTCCTCAGGGCTCAGATTTCTTTACATTTCCAACGGAGGGAATATCGCTGCCCATCTCTGAAAAGCATTATCCGCCGACAGCTCCCGGCGAAGGCGCAGCAGCCGGGGACCAGGTGCGGGCGAACCTGGGCAGCGCCGAGCGCATCCCACCTGAGTTCGGCCGCGAGCCGCACGAGCGCGCATCCCGGGACCGACTCCGCTCCTCCCCCCGGCCGCGGGCTGGTCGCCCCAACAGGCCGCAAACTGACCCTCAGACCCATACCTCCGTCCTGGGGCCGTCGCCAGACCCTCGCCCACGCTCCCACCCACTCCGGCGGCGCTCGGCCGCAAACCTGGCCCGCGTCCCCGGCCTCTGAGGGCGGGGGAGGGGGCGCTGGGGGGAAGGGCCCGGGGCGAGGTGGGGGTCCTCCGTGGGAGATGGGGGGCCGCGGTGGGGGAATGGCCCGGGGCCTCGGCTAAGGTCCTCCAGTAGGAGACTGAGAAGCAGGGCGGATAGCCGAAGGCTGGGGTAAGGGAGGGTCCTGGTGAGGCCGGCGCCCGGGTGAGGGTCCTCCGTGGACCGTGGGAAATGGGGGCCGCGAAGCGGAAGGGTCCGGGGTCCGGAGCTGGGAACTGAGGGTCGCGGACGGAGGGGAAAGGGCCCGCGGTGGGGCCTCCTGCGGGCGAAGGGGGTCGCGGGGGACGGCTCACCCGCGTCGCCGGTGGCGGGCGCCAAGGTGACGGCGCCGTCCCTCCATAGGCGGATCTGTGAGGCCGAGCGCACCCGGCGGCGGGGCTGGCGGCGGCCGGCGTCCGCGGCGCGCAGAGAGCCGCAGCACTGGTAGCACACGGCCCACGCCTGCTCCTCGTTGATGGGCTGACTGTACAGCCGCAGGATCTCCTCCAGACTCAGCGCGTCCTGCGAGCCATCGGCCGCCCCGGCGTCCGGAGGCCCCTCGCCGCCCTCCGGGCCGACCGGCTGAGCCATCCCGCGGGTCGCGCCGCGCTCAAGGCGCCGCGTCGCCTCAGCTGCGGAGCATCGTCTCTGCGCGCCGCCGCCGCCTCAACCCCGGAACCCCGCCCCTCGTGCCGCGCGCGTCGCCGCGGGGACTGGGCGGAGACCAGGCCGGGGCCCGGCTGCAGAACTACGCTAGGGGAGGGCCGAGGGACTAGGCGTGGGCCGCGCGCCTGACGAAACCACCGCCAGCCGGTAGCGGCGCAATGGCGTCCGCGGCCCCGCCCCACGGCGCACAACCCTGGGGTTCGCCCCGCCCTCCAAGCCCCGCCCCAGGGGGCGCGCCCCGCCCAGAACCCCGCCTCCATGGCCTGCCTGGCTCCGCCCCGCCTCTGTCCCGGCTTCTCCGCGCCCTCCGAGCCTCGCCCCCAGGTTGGCTCCGCAGTCAGGAGTCGCCCCTCTCCTGCAGCCGCACCTGCATCACACCCATACCAGCCTCCGAGCCGGGACAGACTTCGTAGTCACCTGGCCTCGTCCCTCGAGTCCTGCTTTGCTTGGTTGGGTACTGTCGCCATCAACGCACCGGGCCGTTCGCTCGGATAACCTTCTCCGCTCCCAACTTCACGAGGGACTGAAGCCCCAGGAGGACAGGGTCTTTATGGGTTTTGCTCACTGGCTTCTCCCAAGCGCACGGATCAAGACCTGGGGTACAAGCTTGTAGCAAACAATCGCAGACGTCCTTCGGATTCGTTTGTGACGTTTGTACAACTCCACCAAGATAATGTTCCCAGTGACCACACGCCTCATAACCCAGCTAACCCAGTCTGTTCATACCTAATGAACCGCTATCACACGGGCATTTACCCATAGAAGAAAAGGAAAAAGTCCTCCTGGGCCGCGATGGACCATTAAGTGTGCGATAAAAGAGAGTTCTTGGATAAAACAATCGCTCGTTGGCAAATGAGTTTAATTGGTAACACTCCACTCTCAGACTAGTCCTGTATGAGAACCTTACGGAGTTGAAAGCATCCATCAGTAAGAGATGTATCTAATAATAAATACCAGTAAACATTTTAAGGCAGTTTCATGTGCACTGTTAGATATTGCACCATCAACAACTGCATCTTACAGTAGAAATTATTAATACAAGTCGATTCTTAATGCCTAAGACACCACAGTACATAAAGCAGGAATAGGGAGAAGACAAAAAGCAAGAACAGATGACTTTGAAAGAGGAAAGAAAAGCTTCTCCCTAGGCACTCTATTACAATTTCATTACAAGAGATACAAAACAAATCTTTAAGGTAATGTCACTTAATTACTGGCTCATAATCCAATTTGTAAAAAATGCACTATGTGTGCCACATCCCTGAAAAGACAAAGTCTAATTCCTTACATGATGACACAGATAGGATAAATGTAGATATACAAAACCTCTTAATTAAAAACAGAAACTAATGCTAAATTTTGCTGTTTTTAAAAGTTTAGACCCAGTGTGAATTTTGAAAATACAGATGGCTTTAAAATATTACTGTTTTGTTTTTGACTCTGCCTCGTGGCATCTTAGTTCCCCTACCAGGGATGAAACCCCTACCCTCTGCCATGGAAGCCTGGAGTCTTAACAACTGGCCTCTAGAGAGACCCCTAAAGTACTAGTTTTGAACAATGCAAAGAAACAGAGGAATGGTCTACTTTGGTAGACAATAGCACCATCTTCTGGCCTTTTGGGATATTGCTGCAGTGTTGCACTCGGACAACTACAGCCGAAAGTCACAAACATTTTTGTCCTTCCTCAAAAACCCACAACAAACTGTGGAAAATTCTGAAAGAGATGGAAATACCAGACCACCTGACCTGCCTCTTGAGAAATCTGTATGCATGTCAGGAAGCAACAGTTAGAACTGGATATGGAACAACAGACTGGTTCCAAATAGGAAAAGGAGTACATCAAGGCTGTATATTGTCACCCTGCTTATTTAACTTACAGGCAGAGTACATCATGAGAAACGCTGGTCTGGAAGAAGCACAAGCTGGAATCAAGATTGCTGGGAGAAATATCAATAACCTCAGATATGCAGATGACACCACCCTTATGGCAGAAAGTGAAGAACTAAAGAACCTCTTGATGAAAGTGAAAGAAGAGAATGAAAAAGTTGGCTTAAAGCTCAACATTCAGAAGACTAAGATCATGGCATCCAGTCCTATGACTTCATGTCAAACAGATGGGGAAACAGTGGCAGACTTTATTTTGGGGGACTCCAAAATCACTGCAGATGGTGACTGCAGCCCTGAAATTAAAAGACGCTTGCTCCTTGGAAGAAAAGTTATAACCAATCTAGACAGCATATTAAAAAGCAGAGACGTTACTTTGCCAACAAAAGTCCGTCTAGTCAAGGCTATGGTTTTTCCATTAGTCATATATGGATATGAGAGTTGGACTATAAAGAAAGCTGAGTGCCGAAGAATTGATGCTTTTGAACTGTGGTGTTGGAGAAGACTCTTGAGAGTCCCTTGGACAGCAAGGAGACCCAACCAGCCCATCCTAAAGGAAATCAGACCTGAATGTTCATTGGAAGGACTGATGTTGAAGCTGACACTCCAATACTTGGGTCACCTGATGTGAAGAACTGACTCATTTGAAAAGACCCTGATGCTGAGGAGGATTGAAGGTGGGAGAAGGGGATGACAGAGGATGAGACAGTTGGATGGCATCACCAACTCAATGGACATGAGTCTGGGTAAACTTTGGGAGTTGGTGATGGACAGGGAGGCCTGGTGTGCTGCAGTCCATGGAGTCACAAAGAGTCAGACACGACTGAGCGACTGAACTGAAAAAAAAAAAAAAAAAACCAAATGATTTAATCAACTGAGCAACCCATGAGCCAGACACCTGCTAATCCTGGCATAGGGTAGTAAATAAATCTCAGGAGAACAATGACAGAAAGAAGAAAGGGAGCAGAAGTGAGGAAAAGAAATCCAAATTTTATCTTCAATGTTAACTTTAAAAGATGTAGTCTTTAAAACAGATTCACAACAGAAGGATTGTTTTCCCTTCCTCAGTGATAATTTTTAAAAATATGAATAGATTTTAGCAAGAAAAATATTTTGGCACTAAATCACAGGAATATACAATATTGAACTTTTTATTTTTGCCAAACAAATTTACTACTGATATATTGTGTTTAAATTTCTTGCCTTTGTGAGTATATGTGGAATTAAGTTGTGGCAAGATGACTAGTTAAATGTTTGATGTTCCTTCTGTATGCAGAAAAAGTAAAAGGTAAATCCTTAAAAATCCTAGCTATCTTCTGTTATAAATCCATTCATTGTATATCCTGAACACTTGATGCTTTTTTATTCAGAGTGTAATTGTACTAATTTTTATATTTTTCAGAACCCTTTGCAATTTGGATAAGCCCCAAATGTCCATCCCCCCAGGACTCTTAGAAAGTGACCACTGACAACTCAGAGGCTCTCAGAGGCTGACACCACCTCTGCAGGTTCAACAAACACTGTGGTGTAGCTCGGAACCTTCCCAGTTTCTCATTCTCAACTCAAATTCAAACATCTTTATGTATAGTATACTTTGTTCCAATTTCTGTCATTGATTTTATTTTCTTATTCTGTGGCTTCACCACCTTCAAAAAAAAATCACTCTATGTAATTAATATGTCTGCACAACTCAGATCAACATTTGAATGCCATCTTCAGATGCTGTGGTCTGTGAAAAGTGGTGGCCTGTGTTATTTCCTCTGAATATAGTTTTAGTTTTTATTGATTTTGCTGTTATATTTATTAAACAATGGAATCTTTGAGATGTTTTATCATCTTATATTTACTTATCATTTTCGCAGAATAAATGTACTTCGTGTTTCACACTCTGGACATGCTGGCTGAGCTGCTCCGAGTCTTTCAGGGAGCACGGCCTTTCAGGGGACACACTGCCTGTGCAGCCCACGCTTATCCCAGACACTCTCAGACAACTGCTCTTAAGAGGCACATTCACCTAGAAAAGTGCACCAAAAAGGAAAAAAATAGAACAGCATATTTTTTTCAGTGTTACCACCTAAATTTTCTCTGCCCACAATTATATCTTATAACTTTACACTGATTTTTTTATACTTTCAAAGTGCTTTCCTCACTTACACAACTTGAAGGTCAGATATTATTTATCTTACAGATGACATCATAGACACAACAAAACACAGGGTTGGTGACTAAAGATGCAGCACTGGGATCCAGACCTCCTGACCAGCCCAGCTCTTTCTGCTGCACTAAAACATCTCTTAGTTAACCCAGAGCACAAAAAGAGTCCTGACACTTCATCCCACCTGCACCAATTAAGAGTACAATAAAAAGCAGATGCTATAAAATTCATATCTACCAATAGGATCAATTGGGTCAGGAAGATCCCCTGGAGAAGGAAATGGCAACCCACACTAGCATTCTGGCCAGGAGAATCCCCATGGACAGAGGAGCCTGGTGGGCTACAGTCCATGGGGTCAGAGAGTTGGACACGACTGAGCGACTAAGCAGCAGCAGCAATATGATCGATTAAACTTTTGATAGTTTAAACACTTTAAATAAATGATGCGATGCCCCATCTCCCTGATGAATTCATCAGCACTTTAGTTTCACCTGAGCGGTTACCCCCAGAGCACTCATCTTCACCACCATCTACATGACTCCATCCCCATCAAAGGCCATACATGATCACTCTTCTAAGGAGGCGAATTCCATCAACAATCCTAAATGCAGTTTGAAACTCATCTCTTGTCACTGGGTTATCAGACTGAATATTAACCAGAAATCCTTAAAATTAGTCATGCAAACCTTATATGCAGAACTAGTACATCAGCCAGGTAAGAAGAAAACAAAATTGGTTTCCTCAAGTCTATAAACTTGTAAAGAATTAGCTCTTTTCTTTTTTATGGTAAAGAAATATGCTTATTGCAAAACATGTAAAAAAAACATCCATTACTATACTTTTACTAAATTATAACATAAACCAGTGTTTTCCCACATTTTCTGTATCATACATTATAAGTTTATCTAACCCACCTTGATGAGATGAAGTTACACACCCACCTATAAAAAATGAGGAAAAGTAGAGCAGTGAGGTGAAATATATAAATAGTAGCATATTGGTATGTCCATGGGGGACTCTGGAAAACCCAAAGTCAAACAATAGTTATATTTCAACTTCTTAATGTGATTCTTCTTTGAAACAATTAGTTCTAAACCAAGAAAGAAAGATGGTATTCTTATCCTGAATGTTAGTGAAATTATTAGCTTCAAGTAGTTAAGATTTGATTTGGAAAAGACCTCAGGAGACCTAAATTTTTAGCCAAGTCACTATTTCACTCTTAGGGAAATTTGAGTCTGCAGGGGTTATATGATTTAAATTACTGCCAGTTGCCAAAGTAATCCAAATATACTTTCTGTAACATAAGCTTTCCAGATCCTCTGTTTTAGCCATGTTACCTAGTTCTCACTGGATTTCAAAAGTTAAGATAAGCAGTAGCTTACTTCTTAATCCCAATGGGAAATAGAAAATAACACACAGCACAAAAGTATCTGTATTTGATAAAGATGTTGATGTT